GAATGTAGTTTTCCAAGCATGCCACATATCATTAGGATTTTCAAGTTCTATAATATGGCTCCAATTTTGTAGACTAATATCATTACGAAATTTGATGGAGTCAAAGTTTTTAAACTTTCTATAGTTTACCGTTGAGTGACCCCTTGTCGGCAGACTAATAGAGAGCTTTCGAAAAGCATAAATGAGACTGTGATCGCTTATACTAACATGAGAGACACCAGAGCAAATTACTTTATCAGGAGTATTTGTAAAGATATGATCTATCAACGTAGAGGAGGAATCCGTGGTTCGAGTGGGCTCATTTATCAGCTGAGAAAGATTGTATAGTTCAGCAATATCAATGAGCAGCCTTGAACTATGATCTAGGACAGTAGAGCTGAGATCACAATTCAGGTCACCCATTAGATAGTACTCCATATTTTCAGCATCAAGTATACCTAGGAGAGATTCAAAGTGACTGAACTTTACCGCTGGTGAATTAGGTGGCCTATACCATGTCGCTATGAGAAAAGGCTTGGCTCTTGGTTTATTAATTAAGATGCACAAGTTTTCTAATTGATCAAATGATAAATCATGCCGAACCGAAAAATTTATACAACTACGGATATAAAAACAAACACCTCCGCCAAATCTACCATTAGATTCTCTATCACGGCGAACAATTTCATAGCCATGTATATGCACTTCATCATCACTAACCGTAGAGTCAAGCCTTGTCTCATTTATAGCCAATACATCAATCATATTATTGGCTAGGAGGATTCTGAGCTCCTCAATGTGCTTAACTAAACTAGTTACATTGAGTGATGCTAGTTTAAAACCACTCATCTTAGGCAAGAGTAGGTTTTGTTCATTAGGCATATTAGTTTGTAAAGATTGCATATTATATACTGATTTAGCAACTCTAAACGAGGCGGCATTATGTCAATGGTCTAAGTTATTTGTGAACTCAATAACATTGTTTTGGAGTGATAAACTACCTAATTTGTTTAAATGCAAACCTCTTCTGTTCAAATGACTAGTATTGATGTTTGCATTTCTTAGGAAAGGAATCTTGTTTACTTGACAATAATTGTCTAAGATAAGGTTAACTTGCTTAACCTTGGTAGCTAATTTCGGACAGTCATTCCGGTCTAGCAACGCTGATACACCTACCATAGTGTTTGGAGAATCCTCTTTTATCTTAGTCGTCAGGTTTAAAATTGAATCCGCGATAACTTTCGGTGTAGAATTTTTTAAGTCATTTGTGCCGACATGAAGAATGACTTTATTCGGTGACTTACGAGTAATAGGTTTGATAAAGTCTTCCATATCCTCAACGGTTGCACCCGGGAACGCTTTCACAACGTAGTGATGACCAACATCATCTTTACTCATATATGCTCCAACCATATTCTTCACTAAAGAATCACCGGCAATCACAACAACATCTTTCTTTTTATTCCTGGTTGAAGATTTACTTACGGTGACATTGACCTCTTGTGTTGCGTTAGCACCAGCTATATTCTTGTCAGGAGGCAAATAATTATTAGGTGATGAGCCCCCGCTGGGTGATAAGGCATCATTAGGCGATGAAGCGTCACCAGGCGATGAAGCGTCACGAGGTAATGAGGCGTCACGAGGCGATGAGGCGTCCCCAGAGGATGAAGCATCACTAGGTGGAGGAATACGTTGCAATAACTTATTTTCTTTCCCTTTGTTTTTTCTCTGTCTCTTTTTTTTCTTTTTTTCACACGCTTTAGAGGTGGGATCCAATACATTTGTTTTATCCAAATTTACTGATGGAATATTTGGGGGGGTTTCGCCTTTACCTTCGCTTAGGTTTAAGAGTTGTTTACTGAGCATTTCAACTGTCTTAATTAAAGAAGAATTATCTCTTTGTAAGTGAATGATTTGCATATTCATGCTTGAATTCGCTAACTCTTCCCCTTCGAGAAAAGCAATTTTCTTCTTAAGATTCGATATTTCAAAGCAAGACATTAAAATTAACATTATTAATTAATATAATGTTCGTCTTCTCGTAGTAGTTTCCTAAAGTTCATTTATTTCACTCTATAGTCCACTGTCCACTGAGAGATCATCCACTGAAAGGTCATTCACTGGCGAGTCTACGTTCACTGACTTCAATGTCCACTAGCGAGTGTACGTTCACTCACTTCACTTCACTCTATAGTCCACTAGAGAGTCCACTGACGAATTTGGGTTGTGCATGCCCTTTTATACTAACGGTTGAGGGGATCTTTGTACACGTGATGTAGCAAGTGGTGTGATTTGTATCCAGCAAATCAACGTTGAGGTTTAAAAGTGTGGGTTGGCGTTACTAGCTCGTTCCAGCCCTCAAATTCTGTTTATTTAAGGCGTTGTCGCACTGGTCGAGTTGGTTCGCTGTTCAATCGATCAATGTTAAAATATGTTCACAACTTAAAATACTTATCAAAATATCACAGTAAAATCTTCAACCTATACCTATGTGAACGTTAATTACCTACTAAACTAAATTTACTTACAATTTTATTGAACCAAGATTTTGATGACGTAATGTTATCATTACTCAACCGCGCGAAATATACCGAAGAATGATTGACAGAAAGGCCCTAAGCATGCACATTTTCATGTCCAAGAAGAACCAGCCTTGGACTTTGAATTATGTAAACACAACAGCCCACCATGCAAGGCTATCGTCCAACTTTGACAAATTATTTATCTTGCCTAATGGACAGATAATTGACACTTTTACGCACGTCCGAAATGATATATACTTTATCTGCGTTTTACAGCAAAAATGCTCACTATCTCTCCATTTGACGTAACTAGTATCTATAATTACCTGGGGTGCAAACTGAACTATTTTTATACTATTTTTAATACTTTCGTAACAATATTGAACAAGTTAAAAATACAGTATTCCTTGGTATTGTCATTGACGAATGTTTGACCTGGAAAGATCATATAGCTAAGGTATAGCAAACAAATTAATTAGAGCTGCTGGTATAATAGCTAAAATACGACATTTCGTGAACCGAAATACTGTAAAACTGATATACTATGCATTAGTCTATCCATACTTGATTTACAGCAACCTAACATGGGGTAGTACTTACAAAAACAGAATTAAAAAAATAATAAATAAATAAATAGTGCGTTTAATGGCATTCAAATCTTACTTTGATCACAGTGAACCAATTTTCAAAGATTTAAATATCCTCAACATCTTCAAAATCAACGACTATTTAACTGCTTTATTTATGTTTCGATATCACCATCTTAATAATTTACCAGAATTTTTTAAAGATTATTTTGTGACAAACAACCAAATTCATCAATATAACACGAGAAATGCATCAAAACTTCACAAATGTTATAAAAGAACAAATTATGTAGAACACACTCTCTCAAATAAAGGAGTTGATGTATGGAATTCATTAGAAACAAAATTTATAGATATAAATTTTTACAGCACTTTCAAAAAGCAAATTGAACAATATTTTTTACTATACAATGTATAAGATATGCTATAAAATATTCTGCTATATAACAAATTTAATAGTATATTGTAGTCTAATTCTTATAAGAACCCAAATGCATCTACAACATTGGTATTCACTTCTATAATAAGAACAATTTCTCTTCTTTTTCTCTCTTGTAAATATATATATATATATATATATATATATATATATATATATATATATATATATATATATATATATATATATATATATATATATATATATATATGTATATATATATATTATACCTCACAATGAGCTTGTCCAATCAGAGAACTAAATTTGTACCACATGACCATGGTATTTTTCAGCGAATACTATGACCTAGGCAATTTGAACCCTGGGTGTTTTACCCGGGGCCATGGTATTCGACTTCGAATACCACGCTTGAGCGGGAAATTCGAGACTTTGAACTTGTTTTGAAATTAAAAGTTAATTGAATGGTATTTGTTTTCTACTTATTTTTGAAAGGTTCGGTATAATATACCATTTATAGACCTTTCACTCGGGGTATTCCACAAAAAATTACCCTGCGGGATGAAATATTCCTCGGGCTTCGCCCTCGGAATATTTCATCCCTCAGGGTAATTTTTTGTGGAATACCCCTCGTTTCAGGTCTATAACTGATAAATATTGAGACAATATATCCCCCTACAGAAAATTCGCATATTTGTATGATAAACCCCATGTTGAAACATGTTGCTTTTCGTAAGTCCCCACTCTCCCAACTCAATGTTGAGCATGTGTCATGGTATATTACCAAAATTTGTTTCGGCGTTGTTTACAATTTTGAACTGGGGGAGAGGGAGACAGAGTTTGTTTTGTTAATGTTCAATAACTTTAAGATATTGATTGGAATGGTCTCAAGGGTTTTGTCTAAGATTCAATCTTGGACATAACTGGTTGAGACTATTTCTTCCCCTACACAAAATTCGCATATTTCTATGATAAACTCCATGTTGAATCATGTTGCCCTTCTTAAGCCCCCGCTCCCCCAACTCAATGTTGAGCTTGTGTCATGCCAGTAAATGACCAAAAGTTGTTTCGGCGTTGTTTACAACATTCAACTGGCGGGGAGACGAAGTTTGTTTTGTCAATGTTCAATAACTTTGTAATATTGTCTGGAATGGGTTTTGTCCATGATTGTAGAAAAAAAAACCACCAAAATTTAGAATTTCCAAAATATCATATTGCAAACACTCCCCC